AATGGGATTATTATGTTGCTGTTCAGAATAATGTTGAAAAAAGATCGAAGCCAGTTTTAATAGTCACCATCAATTTGATATTCTTTAATGAATAATGGTTGGCAACAGTCTAGAAGGAGACAAATTGAAAAGCAGTCAGCCTTGATTTCGTTCATACAGTGTGCGATTTGGATATACAAGCTCGTGGGAGGATGTGACAGAACGTGCTACAACAAGAGCTCATGATTTCCTAAATCAATATTTATACCATAATTTAAGCAATTGCCGAAGATGGGAGTATGTGTAGATGCATAAGAATTTACAATATTGCCTTTTGGGTAGATGTAAATGACTTGACTGTATTGTTAACAGTCAGATACTGAAGCAGTACCTACAGTCACTTTAAGGCTGGTAAGGTAAGGTATATTCTGGTAAGGTAGAGCTTGTAGTCCTCCCTGGTAATGTAATATAAGATAATGAATGAATTCAAACTCTTTCTCACCATTAGATAAATGGAGATTTTTTGTCTTTTGCAAATGTCCAGAATGCAGAGGCCGCAATGTCAATCGTAATTGGCTCATTGGTGATTTAGTACAAGTGTAGCCATCTATATGTAAAATAAATTAAACAAGTAAACAATTGGGCATGTCACGGATATGTGAATGGGTTAATGATTTGATTTCGGTTTAATGTTATGAAACTCCCTTTTTGAACAAGGGGTAGGACGGGCCTACCCATGAAAGGCAGGCAGGTATTGGCAGGTGGAGACCATTACCCCAAGTGGATGCCCTTCCTAACCTTGGATCGTGGCCGGGAATCGAACCTGTGCGCTTGCAGACCCTCCGGCCCACAGCCGTGCGCATTACCACTGTACCGCGGCGGTGTGGATGGGTTAATATATATATATATGTATATAAATATATAAGTATATAAATATATAAATACAGTAAGTCCCTAACTTAAGAACATAATGGGGACCGAGAGGCTGTTTGTAAGTTGATTTGTTTGTATGTCGAAAGTCGGGTCTCCATTACCTTTTTTCACATTGTTTAAAAGTTTTGCTTACATTAACCCAATGACGCCGGGTGTACAAAAAAAAACAAAAAAACTCTACGCTCTAGCAAACAAAGGCAGCGAGCCGACTTTGAGTGTGTGAGTAGAGGACATCAGCCCGAATCACTGGCTCGCCGTGGTGTACAGCCGCACGCCAGCTTTTGAGTGGTTTGTTTGCACGCCGATCGGCGTCACCCAGCACCAAGGGGTTAAGAATACCTGTAAATAAATCCCAATAAGTACGACATACCTTATACAGTACCAGACTCTTGAATTATATTCGTGCCCGGGAAATTTGAAGTTTGCTAGCATCTTTCAAACAATTTTTTGGACTTTAGTACTTAAAAAATTTTGTTTGTATGTATAGAATGTTTATAAATAGAATGTTCTTAAGTAGGGGACTATCTGTATATAAATATATAAATATATAAATATATAGATATATAAATATATAGATATATAGATATTTATATATAGAGATATTTATTTATATACATATATATTTATATACATACATGCATATATAGTTGTCAAAGATGATCTTGACAAAATCTCTTGACATCTGGCTGCAAAATGTTTATGAAATGACTGCACAAAAATAGGAAAAATCAAAATATACTTTTGTAAAGAAAGGAAAAAACAAAACTGTGAAAGAATCTGTGCAGACCAAAAGGAACTCCAGAAATGAAGAAAATAAGTTCCCACAAATGTCCCCAGATGCCTCCTATGACTATCTCCATCCATATGTTGCTTTACACATACCACTATGGTAACCCCACACAGACTGTCTTTGCACATGTAGATTATAAAGATATGATCACTCATTTTCCCTCTTGAAAAGACATTGTACTTTTAATGTTTCTCTATTACAACTTCTATCACAATACCAAAACATGTGTTCATGAAATTTAAATTCCTTGTATGTATATGTTGTATGTTATCATATGGGCCCTATAAAGATAATTAAATAAAAGATACTTCTTACATCCATAAGTTGTACAGTCTCAGTGAAATTATTTCAGTCTCATTGATAATACTAAAATCTGTGTTGTAAATATTCAGTAGAAAGCAGATGCTTGTTGCCTTCACAGTCTTTACAATAAGGTTAACCTAATTTGGATCTATAAATGTGCTGTACAGTTCAATGGAATAAACACTTGGCTAGGAAAATATATAATCTTTAGAGTAAAGGTTAGCTCAGAAGCATCTGTCAGAGTCCTGAAATCATTGCATCAAGCAATTCCGTGGCTTCCGCCAGTAGTCAGTAAACCTTCAGTATGTAGATTTTGGGACCTCCTTGGCAATTAACTGTCAAATTAAAAATCATTGTAACCTTTTTCCTCCCAGAGTAAAGTTTGTGGATGCTAGTGTATTTCTGATACAGTCCTTCTTTAAATAAATACAATTATTTACAAACTGAACAAAGCATTGTGAGAAACATTTTTGGATTGAATATCCAGTTCATGTTAGTAATCAGAAAGTTATCAAAGGAACAGATAGGGGATTTGAACTCCATTAACAGTGTGGACAAATGATTTTTAATCCATGTGGACACAATGACTGATATTCATCATCATCATGTGTATACAAGAATTTAGCTGAGCCAGTTAGAATTGAATAGATCATTATATGACACTATATGCCAATGTGGGGTCTGATAAAGTTACTAGATTTTTGGTAGATTATCTCAGTTTTTTTATTTTTAGAAATAAATTGTGCAGCTAATCTTGGGGACTTTTATTCTGTCTTCCTTTTTGTTTAAAGTTAGTCTTTACTTAGTTTGCTGAACATATTTTTTTCTGTAGCTTAAGTAAAATGTTTTGCAGAATGAAAATAAAATAAAAAAAACTTTCATCATTTCTATACTGTCAGACAGAGCAAAGGAAGACTGCAAATCTTTATTATAAGCAACATATGAGTTTGTCCTCTCATTAGAATAAATAAAGAAAATGCATTTAATGTTAGCCAATCACAATACTGGAAAATGTATGGAAAATGAGTATAACTCTGATCATGGAGAGCAGCACACCAACAATGTACTTTATATTATTATGTTATATGTTACTTTATATTACTTCCTGAAATTATGAATGTGTCAAACATAGTTGGTAAAGTAATTAGATGTATCCTTTTAATAAGAAAAGTTTAAAATATTATATGTGTTTCACTAAGCAGTCTTTTCTTTTCTGTATGTTGTTTGAATTATGTCTGAACTTACTAACATTTCAAAAATTATAATTTGTTTATACACATATCCAATTTATGCATAGGTAACAGAAAAGTGAGAAGATGAGTGGCCTTACAAAAGAGCAACTGCAGCGCATGGAAGAGAATCGCCAAAAGGCCTTGGCAAGAAGGGCAGCAATCCAGGCAGCAGCAGGGAATAGCAGCAGTAACCAGCCTGCAAAACCCAGTAATTTCCAGCCAATGTCTGGTGGTGGAGCTGTCAAGCCTTCCAGCAGTGCAGCTACACAGCCATATAATAGACAGATAAACCCGCCAGGAAACCCTTGGAAACCGGGAGGGCAGCAGAGTACGTTTTCGCAGAACACATACCCAAAATCAGGTCCCTCTAGTCAGAAAAGCCAGCCTGTCAGCAATCAGACTTCAGTACCAGGGAAATCAGCATCAAACTTTTACAAGACCGGTCAGACAACTATCAATAACAACATACAATCTAGCAAGAGCAATGCAGCAAGCTCCAGTTTCAGCAACAATACACAGTCTAAAGCACAGAGCCAACCACCTGGCAACATTTCAAAACAGACAGGTGATGGTAAGCATTCAAAATCTGTATTATTATTATTATTTTTTTTCATGTCTATTTATGTCTCTAATCTATTTGTAATGATGAATTACTTTGATATTGATTGATTGTTATACATATTGACGGAGTGCTTTCTTTGATCTGTTAGAATTGTAACTTTCTTGATGTTGGAAGTAGTCTTTCATTGACTGAAGCAAGAATATTTTGTCAAAAGAAGAGAAACAAAGAAAGAAGAAAAAATCTTTCATTCACCATTTCTCTAAATTACCTATTATTTTCTAGCTTCAGGAGCAAAACCTGTGTTTGGTAAGAATGTCAATGGTACCTTCCGACTGATGTCCCGTGAGAGGTTCATGGTAGAAGTTGGATATCATCAACAGATGATAGAAGTCTTCAAGACAATGACAACAAAGAAATATGGTATGTATGTGCTAGAGGAATTTATGTTGAATATAGACCAAAGTGATTATTGTTTTTATTCAGAAGTCATAAAGAATTGTTTACTTAAATGCTGTAAATTTGCATTTGATTCCAGATGTTGAGACCAAAAGATGGAACTTTGAACTGAGTGATCATGACAAGTTAGTTGCTGCACTTGCTCCTCTCAGACCAGCTGTGTGCATCAGTCCTTTGCCGTTATTTGTTCGCAAAGTTAGTTCACATGTTCTGCCTGGGGTCATATTGCACTGTTTAAACACAAACCATATATGATACAAAAAGCTTATACATCTGATGATCATTAAACAGTGGAACACTGCTTGCCATCTTATCCTAATTCTTATATCATTATATTGTCTGTTACAAATTAAATTTTCAGATTCTGAGAGCAGCTGAAACAGAAATCCCTTCTTCTTGCGTTGACTTGTTTGGACTTGACCCTAAGCTGTTGGATGCCTTGATGCCATTTCAACATGAAGGAGTGTGGTGAGTGTTAATTCTGTTGGCTCTGATACTATCTGTTCTTATTACCATATTTTTTGGCTGTTTAGTTTGCTCATATGTATGGATTTTTTCTGAACCCATTGCCGACGGGCATGCCATGCCATGCCCACTGTGAGATTACTTGTTGGATTGTTTTTACACATAGATGGCTAAATGATCAAAGAGCCAGTTACGAGTACCGCCTGTCTCGCCTGTTCACCCTTTTCTTTGATTTACGAAATAGTTTACGTTATCTTATTTTGCTGTTACTAATGTTAAA